CTGAAGGCAGAGCTGGAGCCATCTGTTCCCTGTGCCTGGTTTTGGGCATACCTTCCTCCCCCTGCTCTTGGGAAATGGCAGGGATGGCAAAATTCCACTGGGTCCAGCTTTGCCTCCACACTGCTCCTCCCCCTGCCCTAGTGCCCGGAGTCTGGGACAGGAGGGAATGAAGGGGAAAAATTTGCTGTCAGTCCTGTATGATGATCTCCAGCAGGATCTTGACCAGGTGGAATGCAGGATTCTTCCTGGCTATTCCCTATGGAGGCACCAGACCAGGGTCTGGCCCACACCAGTCATGCTGACCACGCGGTACCCACGGCTCTCCAGCTTGTCCAGGACCACACGCGGCGCATCATTCACGTAGTACTCAGAGCTGCACTCAGAAAAGAGGAGGAATAAAGTGAACCGAGGGAGGAAGAGACAGGAATTTCCTTGTGGAAGTGAGTCTGCCTCACTGCTAACCTGTGTAAGCCCAGTGAGCACACCTGGCACAGGTGTGGGTGACAGTGCCTTGGTCAACCAAAGGGAAAGGCAACAGTGGCAATCTAAGGGGAATCCTGTCCAGGATGGCAGGATCAGGTTTAAATGGGAATGTGGCTCAGGGACTTGTTGTCCAGGGCCACATGCTGCTCTGTAAGTGGACTGACACTGCAGCAGAGGGTTCACAGGTAAGCACAGGTGAACAGTTCTAACACACAGATTTCATGGAGCAGGAGGAGAATGTTGGCCAAGCAGTGAGGAATGATTAGGTGCTTCTAAGGAATGAAATCTCAATATTTTGCCTGTAAGGTGGGTGGGTTTGAGAGCCTGTGCTGAAATTTGGGGATTGGAACAAGGTGCCTTCAGCCAGATGGGAAACCTTTGGAAAGCCAGAAGTGATCTATCCTGCAGGGAGGTGCCAGCCGAGGTGAAGCCCAGGCTTCTCCACTTTGGCAGTGCCCTGGTGCCTGGGAACTGACACTAGGATCCTTGTCCAGTTCTAATTCCTCGATGGTTTGTGCTGGGGCTGTGTCTGGAGCAGGAGCTGTCCCACCTTCCTTCCCCTCAATCCTAGAGGCTTCCCTGTGGAAGCTCAAGGGCTGTGACACTGCTCCCCAGTAAAGGCACCAGACATAAACTGGGCTGAATTGGGTGGGGATAGCAGAGCTGAGGTGGCCAGTGGGACCTTCGGTGCTGGATCTGCCAGCCTGTCCTTTCACACAGCTTTTGGGATGCAGAATTTACTGGAGCAACTGGGATAAGCTTTGGCATAGTTCAGCTCCAGCTGACTTGCAGTGCCAGATAAGTGGATAAATGACAGGCTACAGGATCACTGGGATCCTGTTTGGGCACTTTAACAAAAACTCTCCTGATTTTCCTACTAATAATGATTAAAACGATCCAAAAGCCTTTCCAAAGCTGCTTCTGCTCAGATTGTGGAGCTGTGCTGGAACCACAGTGCTTTAAAGGCATGAAATAACCCTAAGATGTGAGAGATGTTCCAGTTTCTCAAGACAGACTCTACTTGACTGTAATTACAGATGTGGTGTAAAGATAATGTGTATTATTATAAGTGTCTTTGAAGTCCATGCTTTCTCCAGGAGGGTTGCCACATACCCTTTGGATTCACAGTGGGAGTTGGTAAATATTACTCCCATTATTCAGAGGAAGGAGCAGAGGCAGGGATTTTTAGGGACCTAAAAAATGGAGTGGCTGAGCTAAAAGGAGGAGATAAGAGCTCCCAAGGCTTTATCACAGCTCTGTGTCGAGGGAAACAAAGATTGCAGTGTGAGTATTGGATTTGCTGTTGTCTCTGTGTGCATCCAATCATGATGGAGGTGTTGGGCACACCTGCAAAGCCTTTTCTTCCAGGTAAATGCCAGCAGGGAAAAGAGCAGTCATCCCAGACTGGACAGAACTTGTGCCCTGGCTCTGATGAATTGTGTGAGCCCAGGTACTCTGCCTCCAGGTATGCCAAACCCGCAGATCCCAGAGCAGAACACACAGGGACAGGGCAGGAGTGTCCTCCACAGGCAGTGATTTTTAGGGATGCAGCAGCCAGTCTCCTTGGGATGCCAGCCCAGCTCTGCTTTAGCTCCCTGAGGACAAGGTTTAGCTGTGCCTGGGGGAACAGGTACATTAAGTGTTAGCAGGTGCCTCAGCCCTCAGCTCCCAAATCCAACACGGTGGCATTTGGGTTGCAGTTAAGACCAAAGAGTGCTGATAGCATCTAATTACCAGAGACGCTGGGGACATGCCCATCCCTCCATGGACACACATCCAGCTGGGAACACCCAGAATCCCCTTCCCTGCAGCACCTGAGGGTCAGGGATTTTCCCCTTGGCCCTGCTGGGGCTGGGGGTGAGCCTGGCTGTCCTGTGCCACACCTGGCTGTCCTCAGGGTCCTTCCCTGCACACGGAGGGCAGGGACTGCATGCCCACACCCCGTGGAAGGTAATGAGGGGCCATTTGGCTGTGCAGAGCTGTGGAACAGGATCCATGCACTCCCTCATTACAGGGAATTAAGTGCTTCACCTGTACGTCCCAGTTCCCAGCAGGTCCGTGCTGCTCAAGCCTTTCCTTCAGGCTCCCTCTGAGGTCATGGTTAAGGTTTTGGGGCCCACGGTGCTACAGGAAGGGGATATTTGCAGCATCCATAGCCAGACTCTACTCATGGAGGAGTTGGGGATGGAAAATCCTGTCTAGCCACAGTGCAAATCCCAGAGCTCCCGGCCCTGGTTGGGATTCTGGCGGAGGTGGCCGGGCTCGCCCCACTGGCACGGGGCCGTGCTGGGGCCGCCCGCCACATCCCAGCCAGGGGACTTTCCCCACTCCCTGTTGCTCAAGCACACGCGGGGCCGACGTGCTGTGCCGCGGGGCCATGCCGCAGGGACACAGCGGAGTTCCCGGGTGTGACACAAGCTGTGCCAAGGAGCAGGTGGGGCAAGAGCAGCTGGAAACACTCCAGGCCACAGGGAGGGAAGAAAGGTGGTGAATCCATCAGGGAGATCCCGTAGGAAGCTCAGATCCCTTCTCCCAAACACGCAGAATGTGGTGCTCCGGGTCCTTACAGTGCTGCAGCTCCCATGGCAGGCACCATAGAGGCATTTAATTGTCTTAGCCTTCCTTTTCCATCCAAATCCAGGGATCCTTGTCCCAATCTCAGGAGCCACCAGCATTTCTTGGAGCCTTCTATGTTCCTCCCCCCTCCTCTCTCCCGTCTCGTTGCATAACTCGGGCGCGGCGAGCGGCAGCACGAAGCCCGCGCTGCTGCCAATTTCTGCCCACCCACAGGCTTGGGAATAGCAGTGTGGAGATGGATCAGCCCAGCAAACCTTCCCTGGGAATCCAGCTGGGACGGGGGGGTGGGTCAGTATTTATATTTTATCTCCTTTTTCCTTAAAATCTGTCACCCTGCTTGGATTTTAATGCCGTAGCAGCTGAGGATTCAGTCCTTGGTGTTTGCCAGGCTGGTGCTGAGTAGGTGGGTATTCCCAGCTCCATGGATGGAAGCTTGAGAACATGCTGGGACGAGAGGTCCCTTCTGTTTAACACCTGCTCTTCTCCTCCTCCATGGCACATGGGACACAAGCAGGAATCAAGCTGTTCCTCTCTGTTGGATTCATTTGCATTTGTCGGTTTGTTTTGCTTTGCAGTTGTTTTTTTTCCCAGAGAAGAGCAAGAAGTGGGATATCAAGCCGGGAAAAAAGGAAACAAGCCATAAAGAAGATAGTGGTCACATCTCAGAGTGGCACTTTGCTGAAGGCTGGTGTCAAACTTGGTGTGGGCAGAGATGGGGACATAGAGGTGTCAAATACCCATGGCTTGGGAACACACAAGCAAATGGGCTGGAGTTGGGAGGACAGGAAGGGAAGCAGCTCCGCCCCTGGGGCACAGCAATCTGAGCAGAAGGGCTGACTTGGAAGAAACATTGAGCTGCACTGGAGAGCGGGATGGGATGGACAGACAGACTGGAGGTGAGAGGGACAGGATGGACAGGTGAGCATTAACAGGCAGGACAAGGACACGTGAGCCCTTCCGGCATCATACTGGTCCTGGGATTAACTGTGCAGGTGGAAGGTGCTGTGGGGAATGCCAGGAGTGAAAATGTTCCGCCTTTTCCTGGGACAATAAGGAGAAAAGGACTTACAAGTTGTTCCCCAGCATGTTCCTCTTCATGGCCCCTAGGAATCTCATTAGGTCGGGATCCGAGTGCTCATCACCCACCATGGTGGGACCAGCTTCCTGCAGGGAGAAGCAGCAGAGCAGTGAGTGATGTGTGGTGGCATGTTCCCTCCTTCCTGCTCCCAGCACAGCTCCAGTGAGAGCTATACTGGGAAGAGAATTGCTGTGAGACACCTGCTCATCCCAGGAGAGGACCTCAGTGATCATAGCCCCAACTGCTGCTGGGAAAGCGCAGTTGTTTCTCCCGGCTGGATGCCAAGTTTGGGGCTGGAAATGTTTGTTTTGCCCTGGCAAAGAGCAGAGTTTCCAAAGACTCCGGAGGGGAGAGGCGCTGAGCTCCACTGACTCAGGCTACATGTGGGTGCTGCTAGCACCAGGGAGCAACATTTCCTTTGTGGCTTTATCTGAGAGTAACAGGCTGTGCCCAGCTCAGATCCCAGCCAGTGATCCCAGTCAGTGATCCCATCCAGCAATTCCGGCCAGTGGTCCCAGACAGCAATTCCAGCGGCGATCCCAGAGAACTATCCCAGACAGGGGTCCCAGAAAGCAATCCTGGCCAATGATCCCACCAGCAATCCCACCAGTGATCCCAGACAGCAACCCCAGTCAGCCAGCAATCCTGGCTGGTGATCCCAACCACAGCCTGGCTTCTGCCAGCCCCCACTGCCGGCAGTGCCCATTCTCTCAGTTGCCTTTTCCCCTCTCGAATGGCTGTTGGGGGCGAGGGAAACCCTACGCCAAGGACACGTGGGCAGAGCTGTCCCTCTGGCACTTGTGGGATCCTGCCAGGAGTTTCCCAAGTGAGTTGCTGTTCAGGAGAGAAGGATTTGCGGGGAGCAGAGCCAGGGTGGGAGCACGGGGGGGGTCTCCATGCCCTGATACCCGAGGTGTGGGCACCGGGATCTCTCCATGCTCGGATGCCCGGGGTGTGGACACTGGGGGCTTGCCCGGAGTGCAGGGGCAGATTGTGCTGGATA